TCTAATAAAACATAAAACAATACAATATTTGAGATAAGCTAGAAATAAATATTGAGCAGTAAAATACCTTGGCTTTCAGATCACCAAAAGATATCAAGATTAAACTGAACTCTGATCCACTTCAGAACAAGCTAAACAGGAACATCTAGTTTCAGTTACCATTTTTCTACCCACTCACCTAGTCCTAACAAAGTAGGCAACTGAAGCTCAAAATCATACCTGAAACAGACTGTTCATAAATGCAGAGTACAGTATTTTGGAGGAAAATCTAATTCTGTACTTTACACAGATTGTCCAATTAAACTGACTCACAAAAGGAGTATCAGCATTCTAAGCATCAATGTGAACAACTCAGTTGAGACATCTTTCTGTAAATGTCAAAGTCAGAAGCCAATTAACAACAAAAGCAAAGAAAAACAGTAAAGAAAGTAAAACCGAGTTCTTAGTACAAATCAGGTGTTTTCTCTCTCTGCAATACCAGTGTGTTTCCTGGACCAGCAGAATATGAGTGATTATACTTACTGACATGTAAAATTAGAAGGGGTATCAAACACCATACTTTGGAATGAAATAATTGTGTAAGTATTTGAAATCAGAGCAAAATCCACTAAAAAAGCAGATATGTGGAGTCTATATGGTCTCTAAGAGTATCTGGTACTACCACATACAGAAGGAAGACCAGATAATTTCTGAGTCTGGTATAATAACAGTAATGTCTGTATATTTTCACATTTTCACCCAGACTCATAAATGATGAGCTCTGCTTATAAAAGGCAACCTGCTGTCCTGTGTATTGGAAAGGCATGAAGTATTAAGCAGAGGCAGGAGTTGCTTGTACAGAGGTTAGATCATAGTCACATCAGAAAACCCAAGTATATAAAGCAAAATTACAGACAGAAATCAAGGAATTGCACGAAGTAGACTTGTGTGTAGCAATTAAGCACTTGTGGGTTACAATGTCAGTTAATAAAGATTAGGAAAAGTACCCCTATCAGTGGGAAGGTGAAGCAGTAATGGCACAGAAGGTCTGAGACCATCATTTTAAAAGCCAATGCTCTGTACATGTAAGCATTTTTTTTCTATATACCCCTTATCTTCTGCCCATGCTATTCCCAGATTTTACTCACTGCTCAGAAAAACCACCTTCTCACATCTAAAGTTCCTGTAACACCCCAATAATCATCTAAGGGGCATGCAGAGGGTGGGTAAGAAAAGGGCAAGAACAAGAAGAGAAAATAGGAGGTACAAGGAAATGGAAGCTTGTCTTCTCTCTGTGTTCTGTAGATCAAAGAAAGCTTATGTCCATTTCAATTTCACCCTGTAGCCCCACTCTGAAGATCAAACCTGTGTTGTAATCAGCATATGGAGGCGGAGGCTTATGGGTGGTTGATACCAGATCTACACTACTTCACCTGCACCAGAGTTTGAAGTTCTATGAAGTGACTAAACATGTAATGATACCAGTAGGCAGACATAAATTGTATTAATAAGGCTTAATAAGATTATTGAGCATAATCTGTATCATTATTCATATACACACATTTGCACATCTATGAATTGATACATGACAATGTAGCTCAACTTCAGATGTAGAACCTCCTGTGAAACATCAAGCAGCAAACTTAATACCCTGTTGTAGCACTTCAGCAGAATGACAAAACCTTATCACTTAATGCTAATGACTGCATTAACAGAACAGTTTATTAATTTCCCTGCAAACCATGCCAGATTCTAATACTGAGAGCTATATCTAGGAGAGAGCACAGATTTCACAAGAGACCACATCAATCCCTGGAACTTTCCTTCTTGCTCCACTAGTTATTAAATTTTCTTTACCACAGCCCTTAACTTAAAATTTAAAAAGTGAACAATCCTACTGAATTTATACAGACTTAAAAATTAAGCAAATATAAGTCTGCAGAATGGAGTCCAGCACTACACAAATCACGTTCAAACTTAATGAACATACATGATACAGTTTGCATCTTACAGCTTTCCTCAGCTTACATAAATTAATCTCATTTTTCTGCCACCTTTCACAACATTTGTAAAGTGCATTACATGATATTTATATGTTACATTGGACCTACAATAAACAGCATGATTTTTCATTTAATTATTAGATGACATGCTGTTCTCAGAATATAGCTGGGTGTTGTATGCCAAGTGCCGACAGCAAATAATACAGGTTCTTCCTGTTCTGGGAGAAACCAAATAGGAGTATCTTCTTATATGTTAACCTAGACTCCATTAAATAAAATGTATTAACATAACTATTAGTGGAACAAATATTCACTCTGCCATAATTTCTTATATTTCTGACTTTGACTCCTTAAAACTCAAGCATCTAAAATCAAGAGTAGTTGAGGAGATTAATTGAAAATCTGAACAGTTTAGCAATTTTATTACTGCTTATTACTATTAGACTTTGCTTTTTAAATTGGGAAAGGGAAGAACTGCTTGGGCAGATACCATTGCTTAACACTTCAGATACAGGAGCCCAGCCTAACACTTCTTGTTATGAGGTTTCCTGATATCCATTATAGGGATTTAAGACTTAAAGAGTAAACGAACATTTTTCTTCCTACATGCTGCAGTCTTCCAGAGTGCACTTTCTCATTTAAATAGCTTGCTTCCTATGGATGTTCCTACTTATCTAGTAAGAAGTTTAAACCATACCATGGACTGTAATAAAAAGATGGTTGTTAATTTGACCTTCCTTTACCAAAGGAACTACACACAGTACTATTAATACAGGTAACAGAACTGCTAGTCTTTGTTTCTTCCAAGCTACATTTCCACCTCTAGTTTTTACATTTGTGATACATTTGAATTAATGTTGCTCTTATTTGTTACCTTGGAAAATCCTCACAGTTGACTTGTACCAAGAATAGCGAGAAAGCAATACAGCTGCAAAGTTTAAAGTATTGAAATGCAGCAGATCTCAAACTGAAGGAAAAAAAAGGAGCTTTTGTCACAAAAACATTTGATCAGTTTGGTAATTTTATCAAGGACATACTTAGCCATGAGTGCTGTTGGAACTGTTGAAATAATGGATCAATAAAAATCTCATGTTTTGAACCAAGTGCCCATTTGTCAATCATGGTCACAAAGTTATTCTGAAAAAAAATTGCAACTTTCAAGAGTTGAGGCAGCAGAAGACAAAGTGAAGGTCTGGATGCATAAGAGAAGTTTATCAGAAAATGACAGGCATGTGTGAAACTATTCAAGGAAAAGTTAGAAGAGAAATAAAATATGTACTAGGTCATGGTATTGGCTAGTGTCAGAAAGTGGGATAAGGACACTGAGCAGACAAACAGCAGAACACAAGTCAGGCGGACATGCAAACAACAAAGGTCAGCATGGCCCAAACTGATGGACAGATCATGGAAACAAAGTTAGGCTGTACTATATAGCAACTTCTGTGGAAGGGTACAACCAACCTTAAAGAGAGAAGAAGACTTGTAAAGAAAAACAGACAGTATCATAACATTCTTGATCTCTGTGCTGATATTGAGATTAAAAGTATCAGCAAAACTGTACTACAAAGGTTTGTAAACATGAAAATTTGCAGAAATTTTCCTTTTTACAATGATTTTAATATAAGAAGTTTATTTTGATACCTCTTTTTTAGGTTCTCACACTCATCTATTCTCAAAGTATCTGAAATTTTAAAAACCAAGGTATTTCACAAACATTCATCTTATAAAACACAAATTAATTAATGCTGTGTGATTCTGCTATATATTTTCCTGAGGATCTGAAACACTTCAAATAGTTTACAATTCCTCCCACCCACATCAAAACCCACCAATGTACAGTACATATTTTAAAGCAGGGAGATAGATTGTTGATGGGTCTAAGGTCTCAGAACAAATTGAAGAGAACTAGATTCAAGAGTTGCGACTCTAATGCTCTAAAAAATGCTAACAATTTGAGAGTTTGAGACTCCAGCTTTTACAATGATAACAAGGATGGGGAAAGGGAGCAAGAAAAAAGAGTACATGTGGTGATTCAGAATGAAGAATCAGCAATTACCTTTCTACCTTACCTTACCTGCAGCTTCAGACATGCTATTCCAGGCAGAAATACTCAGAAGAAATAGGAATACCCGATAAATGGACTGACCTACGTGCACACTCTTGTACTACAGTAAAAAACCCCCACAACATTCACAGGTATTCAATGTTTTTAAAAGCCTGTATGAGAACATTTTCAAGACTATAAATAGATACATTGATTCCACCTGCATTTTGATCTGCGTTTAAGTTTAATCAGAGAAATCATTTTGTCAATTTCAGTGTTTACCACAGCACCAATATAGGCTTTCAATATATGATCGACCAGTTCCCACAGAACGTAGAGACAGTTCATATACATTATCAGGCATCTTTCTGAGGGACATGACCGCAGGGGAAGATCCAGTGTAAATACAGTTATGCTGGCATAGGTGTTTTTGCTGGTATAGCTCGACATGCCAATCTGTTATTAACTCTGCTGGAAAAAGCACCTGTGCGTGTAGAACTGGTTTTTTGGGACAAGGCTAGCTGGTATCTCCTGCTGTACCTGGCGTGGCTCTACCCTTTATAAGGATTATTTTCCTGTACTTACAGGGGTGACAACTCATTCCACCCTCTGCCTGACAGCCAATCTTGGCAGCTCGTCTCATGGCACTAAGAAAAAAAAAACAAAAATCAACAAGAAAACAAAACAAAAAGAAACAATGTGGGGCAAAACCTACACCAAAGTTTCTCTGAAATATTAAAAAGTTTTAAAATCTATTAATTTTTTTAAAGTTTTATTTTTATTCCGTCTGGTTACCACATTTACAAGCTCACACTCAGCAATCACACCGTACAAAGGGCCGCGGAGGGCGGATGGCCGCGGCCCGAGCGGCAGGAGGAGGTGCCTGGGAAAATCAACCCGCGGGCCGCGGGGGAGGCCCGGCCTCAGCCGCTCGGCCCGACCTCCGGGCGAGGGCGGCCGGGACAGGNCCGCGGGCAGGAGGCGGCGCCGCGGGGACCGGCTGTCGGTCCGGGCAATGATCGGGTGTCGGTCCGGGCAATGATCGGGTGTCGGTCCGTGCCGGGACCGGCTGTCGGTCCGTGCAATGATCGGGTGTCGGTCCGTGCCGGGACCGGGTGTCGGTCCGTGCCGGGACCGGGTGTCGGTCCGTACCGGGACCGGGTGTCGGTCCGTGCCGGGACCGGGTGTCGGTCCGTGCCGGGACCGGGTGTCGGTCCGTGCAATGATCGGGTGTCGGTCCGTGCAATGATCGGGTGTCGGTCCGTACCGGGACCGGGTGTCGGTCCGTACCGGGACCGGGTGTCGGTCCCTCGGGCTCGGCTCGCGGTCTGTGCGTGTTCCCACCCTGGGACATTTCCATTCATTTCCCTCTAGAAGCGCTGGCGGGCCCGCGGGTCACTGCCCGCTTCCAAACCCAGCATCCCGGGGGTGTGGGTGTCCCCGCAGCCCCCCGGGTCCTGGTGCTGAGCTCCCGAGCTGGCCCTTGCCTGGAAAAACTGCTTGGTTTGAGTTCATTTCAGAGCTGCAGAATGAGTTTGGTGTGACCTGATCTGGTTGTCCTGCAGTGAAAGGCATGTGTTGTATAAATTCCATCCAGCACTTGAGTTTGCAAGGACTACGGTTCTTCAGGCTGCTTCCTGGATCCAAAGGTTTCTTTTAAAAATGTAGTTTTGTATTGCAATATTTGCACAAAGAAGTGAAATCAAAAATTCCCCCTTCCAAAGTAAAAATGCAGTGAGCAGTAAAGAAAGCTTTCCAGAGGAAGATGCATTTGAGGGTGCCAGGCTCTTCCCTCCTGTGACCTCTTGAAGAAGGTTCTGCATTCAGGGCACTGTGGCAAGGCTATACCACTTCCTCCTCAGTGGTATTCCGGCTGCATGCCCTTTGGTACTGGAGGTTCTCCCTCTTGTGCCGTACCTCACTGCTGCTCAGAAGGTTGCCAGGGATTTACTGCAAGGGCAAGGGTTAGCATGGGGATTTGTTCAGGTCACCTTTTAACCTAGAGCATCTGCTTCTGACCTGACACTCTGGCTTACTTTGAGACAACTTAGTGAAGAAAAGAGTCCTACATACATAATTAAACAAAAAAAGCAGGCAACAATTAAGTAGTTTACAATTCAGAATTTTTCATGGGATTTTGACTTCAGCTGGTGCTGGCAAGGTCTGAATGAAGTGTGGATAGACAGCCTGTGGTGTGAAGTGCAGATCAGTCAGACAGGGCTAATGGGGTCCAGTCCTCTGTGCTGCCTCAGTGGAACTGCGTGGGGAAGGGAAGAAGTTGCACAGTTCAGGATTTCTTCCTCTTCCAGCCAGGGGTACAACTTTATGGTCCTGGGTCTGCTTTGGCAGCCAGGAGACTGGGATTGCTCGCAGTGCTGATGGAGCTAGCATGAGCTTTAAAGAACGGAAAACTAGTAAACCCTACAGTCATTTTTAATGGATCTGGAAACACAATTCAGAAATATATAATCTCATTGTGGCCCTTCAATGTGCATTGTTGTATTTTCCTGTTACACCTGATTAGCTCCTACCCGAGTCCAAAATGCCTCTGATGCTAAGAATATACAGCCTTGGGAAGCTACCACGGGCACTGCTGAGCATCTTCAGAGTCTGCAGCTGTGTTTTACTAATGCCTTTGATCTGAAGCTTTGTTTTCCTAACAGCTAATTTATTAGTGAGCAAATTGAGGCTTTTGCATATTAACAGACTTGCCAAGTATCACTTTGGGGCCAGAACAGAGGCTAATGGAATTATGAAGTCTCTCCTCCACACCCAAAAAACTGCCCCTCTTATGAAGTCAATTTAATTATTCTCTAGGATGGAATGTACAAGATGCACAGTGTATTGCAATATCAAAAGGGTTCAGTTAATTTACCTCCGTTAACCTCTGTGTGACCCTGCTCTGGGGACTTGAGGATCTGTCACTCTTCTTGTTGGCTCAACATCTGTCCTGTTAAACCACACACTGGGAGGATGCATTAACCACTCAACACTCCTGCTATTGCTGATATTTTGAGCTGAGAAGAAATCAGTTTCAGGCTCTTTTCCCTAGAAGCAGGGTTGTGCATTCCAAGCAGTGGCACACAAGTGCTGTAACCTCTTTCCTTCTGAGTCAGCGTAACCAGCACCTGTCAGTGAGATTGCCCATACACAAGAGCTGCTGTTCAGACCTTTGTTCCTGGCTAGTCAGTTATTTCCAGCTAATCATAAGTCATTGCTGAGGGAGGAAAAGCAGAATGGTTGTAGTGCTTAATAGCCCACAGTGACGTGTGATGTGCTCTGTGTCTGGGCACGAACATCCCCGAGTCCTGCACACAGCAGCTTGTACCCTGCAGGGAGCTCTGCTGGATTTCCTGGGAAATCCCAACTCCTTAAACAGCACAAATGTGGCAGAAATTGGAGTGACCTTTGTGCCAATGACTCTTGGGAATTTTCTTAGCCTCCAAGTAACCTGTATGGGCAGTGCAGCTGGATATTGCGGCACACAGCTCAGCTGAACTGTCAGCTAATTTCTTCAAATATGTCCTGCAGAGAAGATTTAAATTGTGTTACTGAATGGAAATCTTTGTGTTGGGAATATTTGAAAGAAGACTGGCACACACGCACACACTTAAAAAGACATTTTTGGGGAGCCTGAGGGTTTGGGTTTTATTTTAAAGAGTCTCATCTACTAGTAAAAGTTTATTTCTGTTTTAAACATGCTTTTGAGTGGGAAGTCTGCACTGTCTGCACGTGAAACAAACAGTTTGATTGCCTCCTTAGAGCCCATTCTGCACAAACCTATTCCTGTGCTTGGGATTTCAAAGTGGGAGAGCTGCTCCGAGTGCCTGTGAGGGAGTGGGGGAGTGTGTGGACAGGAAAGCGTCCCCATGGGAGTCACTCTGCAAGGGGCTCTCCCTAAATGCTGGGGCTGAATCTCAGGTATCTTCTGTGAGCCTGTGTATACACAAACAAACACACAAACTAGCTCCAGCATGTGCAGTGCAAGATCTGTGCACTTCCCTCTGTGCCTGCTTGCAGGTCCTTCCCCAGAAGTGCTGTGAAGGGAGCAAGGTGAGAATCAACAGTGTGCAAACACTGCATTTCCTGCTACCTGTCCTGCCAAACTCAGATCTCCTTCTGGCCTCAGGGCTTGCACAGCTCACACGGGACTCACAGGGAATGATGTATGTTCCATACTGCTGCGGGGGCACAGTGTGTGCACAGCCCCTCCTCAGCCAGGGAAAGGGGCAATCCTGGATAACACATCTGCTTACTGCTACACCTTCATCCGAAATAATTTTAAAAGGATGATGTCAGTAAGATGAAAACTCAGATTTGATAATTAGGTTTTCATTCCAAACCCACAGTCCCCAGCAGGGTCTTGTGAAGCACCACCGATCTGTATTAATTCTTCATGCAGTTTCATGCTCTTCTGGTCCAGAGACAGCCCCCTGCACGTTCCGGTTCACATGTGAATTTCTGGGTATTACTATGCTGTTATGGGTGTTCTGTCTGAGCAGATATCTGCCTGATTCTTTAACAGATTCTGCAGCACTGGGTTTTTCAGAGGCTGAGGAGAGATGCCTTCCAAGTTAGACAGTTGAACTCAATCTGTGAAGTCAGCCATGGGGAATCCAGGCTTCACTTGAAACCCAGCTCTTTGGCATTAAATCACAGAGATGTTTCAAAGTGAAACTGGGAATGTTGTGCAACTCTGCAGAGAGCCAAGTCAAGAACAAACTCCAGGTTTCAATTTTCTCACTGTTTTTAGGCAATTCAGTGGTTGTTTGTTCTATATCCATGACTACATGGCTGCAGACATTATCGTCAAATGTGGCTCATATGAAGTACTTGCAGACATGGCAATAATTTGAGGATTGTCAGTCTCCTGGGCTGTGGGTGCCAATCCTCTGGCTAGCTTGTCCTGCTCTCTAGAGCTGCCCCTCCAGTGTGCCTCACCCTGGGCTGGAGGGAATTGCTTCAGCAGGGACTAGGATTTGACTGAGCTGCAAAACAGTGAAATCAGAAAATCAAGGCTCGTAATTTTGGAATTCTGAAACGTGATGACCTTCAAACTCATTTCAAAGGAGGAGAAGATAACCCTTTGTTGGAGTAAATCCAACTTAAGCACTGATATGGGTCACTCACCCAAACTGCTACCTGTAAGATTTTGGGTTGGAGGGTAGGGGACTCCCTCCACAGCGCTGAACCCGTTACCTCACTGCTCCTTGGCAGCCAGCGCTGCTTGTGCTGTGTCAGGGCTGTGATGCACAGCCTCCAGGGACCAGCAGCGTGGGCTGGGTGGCTCCTGCAGGGAGATGACAGTATTCAATCCCTTCAATCACTCTGCCTTATTTTGTGGGGTAAACCACAGAATTCACCTTTTGGTAGGTAGAAGTGAGCATTAGGGAGGTGCCAGTTGTCCCAAATTCTTGGTTTTCCTTACCCAGCGATTTGCCAGCGATCCAATCCGTGTCGTAGGAGAGTGAGGAGGTGTCAGTCACTGTCTCTGCTGACCTGGCTCTTTTTTACCTGGATGTGCTGTGAACTGGAGCTGTTTTGGATGAGAAGTGATAGTTGAAGAGGGAGCAACAACCCTGTACCAACCTGAACCACACTCACATAGCAACTCACTTGTGCATTAATGGGATTCACTTTAGTGTGAAATACATCAGAGCAAAGATCTTGCAGTGTTGGTGCTGAGTTTTTGTTGGAGTTTTGAAGCATTTTCAGGAGTGTTTCATGCTGCTCCCCCATAGTCTTGCTCAAGCTGATTATGAAACCCTGACCTTGTGGGTGGTTTGCTCAGGAAATGGGGCTCCCCCTGCTCTGGCCCAGTTCCTTGTGCATGCAGCAGCTTCCCCGTGAGGCTGCAGCAGGTTCTGGTGCTGGTGTCAGCTCAATTTCCTCCTCTTAACGGCAAGCCAAGGCCTAGATCTCAAACATTAGCAATGAAACAACTCCTGGAAGAACCTAGAGCAGGAGTACAAGAGGACACAGGAGGGATGCCAAGGCTACAGAAACAGGAGGCAGTAACTGTCCGGATGGTGCTTGGGCAGGACTGCAGCCTCCAGTGCTGCTTCCCTCAGTCCAGCAGAAAGGAAGGAGCTCTAAGTGCTGGACACCACTGTTAGCCTTTTCCTGTAAATATTTCTGGGCTATCTGCACATCTGCCTGGTGAAGAACTAGCCAAACCCCAGGCAGAAAGAGGAGGTGAGCAAACCTGAGATGAGCCTGCAGGGAGATCCCATGGAGCCCAGGTCCTGCTGCCTGGGAATAGCAAGTTTGGGACTAGTTTGTAAAAATGGGGATCTAGACCTTCAGCCAGAGACTGACAAGAGCTCTGCAAGTAGCTCTTTTGAGTTGAGGGAGTGAAAGGATAGCAAAATAATATCCTGAATGCAGGTAAATCAGCATCTTGTGATCAGTTGAAATGCAGGCCTTTATCTGTGACTTGTCTGGCATTTGATGTGTCCTACAGAAAGTCAGTCTGTGAGCATTGGGGAAGCCGTGTCCTTTGGACTAACCAACTTAACAATTAAAACAACACCAGCTCAGGATTTTGCTTGCCTTTGACATTTGAGACTTTACCATGCTCTTGGATTATATTTTTCAGGATTTTTCTCTGCAGCTTTGAGGCAGGGGAGCTTAATTAAAACCTGAAATGCAAGGTCACTCCAGCCTTTATTTCAAATTGAAATCCCCCACAACATGTTGCCTCTCATACAAGTAGTGGCTGTGAGTCCCTGGGAGCAAGCAGGCTGTGCTGTTTGCATTACAGCTGAGGTTGCCAGTTAGAGCTGACAGTGTTTTGCACCAGTTCTGGGCACATGGACAGCTGGCACAGTTCAGCTGTGCTCCTGTTTTACACATGTGTTTTGCTCTGCTCCTCAGATCTGGGAGCTGCTGGATCCAGCTGCATCCCTGCAATGCCAGTGCTTTGGAGCAGGAACACCATAAGGCAGGGTCACATCCTCACTGGAGAGAAGCTGGGACAAGAATCACACCTCTGCAGAGCTGCACACCCTGTGCCACAGAGCTCCGAGCCTCTGGAGTCCTGCTGCAGGGAGCCAGGGTGAGTGCAGGGAGCCAGGGTCAGTGCAGGGAGTCAGGGTGAGTGCAGGGAGCCAGGGTGAGTGCAGGGAGCCAGGGTGAGTGCAGGGAGCCAGGGTGAGTGCAGGGAGCCAGGGTGAGTGCAGGGAGTCAGGGTCAGTGCACAGAGTCAGGGTCAGTGCACAGAGTCAGGGTCAGTGCCTTGTCTTCTGTCAGTGAAATGAAGAAAAAGGCCCATCTGTCTCTTTGAGAAGGTGAAACCCCAAACATGTGCACTGTGTTTCTGTTCTGTCTTTGGAGATGACTGACTCAAGCTTTTGCTTGTTATTTTCAGGTCAGTGTCTTTGTTCCTGCTGTGTTTTTGGAGACTCCTCAGGAGATGGAGTTTTCCCTTCTGGAGCAGTGTTCTCCTGATCAGTCTGTGCCTCAGGAACCCCACAAGTACCCCAGTACTTCCCATGTCAGAGGTCCTTTACCTTGCACGAGTTCCAAGGTGCAGCCCATTTTGGCAGGGCCAGTGGCAGCCAGAGCAGCAGGGAGAGCTGAGCGCTGCTGTGCTGCCCACGGTGCTGCAGGAAAGAGAGGATGGAGAGGAGGGGTAGGAGGCAGCAGAAACCTCACAGGAGTGGTGTCACCACGGGCTGCTAAGCCCAGCAAGAAGCCGTGGTGGCTGTCCACTGGCTCAGGGTTTGCTCAGGTGCAGCTCAAGCCGTGCCTCAGCTTTGCTCCTGTCCCGGCTGTCTGATCACCACAGTTCTGCCTCAGCTTTCCCTTCCTTGCAGCAGCACTGTTCTCATGTTAGGAGGGCGGGCTTTTTCCTTCAGACTGAAACTCACAGGTATTAAAAGTCCACAGTAATTTTTAAAATATTTTCTAGTATTGTTAAACCAGTGGATTGTCTCATACAATGTACTTTTTATTGTCTTGACAAAGTATCTTTCGTCCTCATTTCCTCCTCAAGGCATTTGAATCTAAGTACATTTAAGCACCTATGTATCTGTATACATTTAAATAAAAGCTAATGGATATTCCACTGTCACTGTAAACCAGATTTTTCTTACTGCAGTGATTAGAGGAGGACAGGAAAAGAAAATGTATCATGACTGACACATGAGAAACCAGTGCCAAATCAGTGCCAACACAAATTAGTGCAGCTTTTTTTTCTGGAAAGCAGTCATGGCTATACTTAGAACATGCTGGGACATTCCTGATCCTGTCTGAAGGGCAGGTTCCACATGCAGCTCATTGAGTGGCATCACAGGAGGAGCTGGCCCCTGGCAGCAGTTGGATGCACAGCTCTGCTGGGCACACCCATGGTGCCTTCAGGGGCTGCAGACCCTGCGCCACCAACAGCTGCTGCTCTGCCACGTCCACATTGCACAGGGCTGTGAGAGCAGCACAGTCAACACTGCATGAACTTAGAAAGCAGGGAAGGAGAAATCAAACATCAGGGTGTAGCTGAACAATAGCAGGGCTGCTATTTCTGTTGAAGCTCTTGGAGCCTCCCTGACAATTCCCCCCACTGGCTGCAGCTCCAGCGACCACAGTGCTGTCTTTGCAGGGTGCAGTTCTCCAGCTGGAGGGACCTGCTCACACACAATTGGTTTTACTGCTGTTGTTGAGAATTCTAATTTTCTGGGCCTCCCTGTTGTGCAAGCCTCCCCCTTATCGATAGCATATCTGTTATGTGACACTCATCTGTGCTCTGAGGCTCTGCCAGTGCTGCAAGGCAGCTCGAAGCACACAGCAAATCTGCTTTAACTGCCTTGGAACAAAAGCCTAATGTAGTATGCAAAATAGAGGGAGACAAAAAGGATAAAAATCAAATTAGATTCACTGTGCACACAAACTGTCAAACCCAAAGCACAGTGATGCTGGTCATAGGGGGAAGAAAACAGCTTTAAAAACATGGCATGAAAGTGGATTGCTGTCCTTGCCTCACTCTGAGGAGTCTCTTTGTGTCCTGCAGGCACAGCCAGGCTCTGGTGGTTCAGTACACCTTCCCTGCCTGCCCTGCAGCTCTTTTGTGCCCATGGTGCTGACTGGGGGGTGCTGCCAGCCTCCCTCTGTGCAGGGCAGCGACTGAAGGGTCAGGATTCCCTGTGAGCTGCAGCAGCATCTCTGTCCCACGGCTGAGCCAGGGCCTGGGGACCCTCCCAGAGGGAGGTGGTGCTTGGCCACAGGGCACCTCACTGCTGCCGATGCAGCCCAAGCCTCTGCACATCCAGAAGGGGCTTGGCCAGGTCCAGGCGTGCTGACACAGCTCATGTCAGCAAAGTGCTTGTGCTGCTTCAGCTGTTCCAGGAAGGTTTGACTGATGCTGCTCCAGGAAACAGCCTTCCTTCTCCAGGGAAGGTACATCTCCATCAGCAGATGTCCCTGGCTTCGGGTGCTCCCTGCAGGGCTGTGCACCCAGGTTATAGGCCAGAGCTGGCACTGATTGTGCAGACCAACCCTGACTCTGCTGAGGAGGGAGGATTAGCTGCTCCAGCCCAAAAGCAGCTTTATTAGGGCAGCAAGAAGGACCCTGGGCTCTCCCAGGCCCGTTGCTTGTTTAGCAGCTTTGCTGTAATGCAAATGTAATGCTGTGATGCAGGGGGTGTGATGACATCAGGCAGGCCTGACACCACATCTGCAGGCAGCTGGACCTGCTAGGAGGGAGCCTGGCTTTTCCTCAGCCAGACCCAGTGCTTTTGGGCTGTAGGATTGTGTTCATGTCCCAAAGACCTTCTTCCACATGCATCTGAAACTGCCCTCTCCTCTCCTCTCCTCTCCTCTCTTTTCTTATGCTTATTAAGCCAATCCATCACAATGGGGTTAACTGTGTGATCTCACTGTGTAATATCAATAATAATTACCAGTTTTCTCCTGATTTTGCCATGTGAAAGAACAAAAGCACGTGTGCTGACTTACACCTTGTACCAAGGGCTGGCTTCACCTTGCAAAGCAAGGCTGGAGGTCATTCAGGCCTTTGCAGAAGGCAATGTCTGTGGAAACAAAACTCAAGAAACCAGGTGGTGCAGTGGGGCAGACCGAGCAGTTTCCTGGCAAAGCCCCTTGAACACACAGGCCATTCCCCTCCTCTCGGCCCTTCAGCTCCTATAGCTGTGATTATCCCAGCCTACTTTGCATTCAGTTGAGCTGGTGGAGGAAATCAGAAAATCCCTGCCTGCTAAATCAGTGATGAAGCCAAGAGCCCGGGAAGCAACTTGTATGTGGCAGTGCTGGTGTTTCTTGTGTGTGCCCAGTGGTAGATGATCCACGGGATGGACAGGGATGAGCAATGCACTGAACTCGTTTCAGTGTTCCCAGCCCGAGTTCCTGAGAAAAGCTAAAAAACCCCTCGGGCTGGGCTGCTAATATGGGACTGAGACCTCAGATAATAAAATCAAAGCTCATTGTCTCAGTGCTGCTGGGGTGCACAGGCCAGGTCACTGGGTCTCTGTGCCGCTGCTGTGTCGGTGTGAAGGGGCACTTAAAAACACCCCAAAACTTTCCACTTTTTCAGGAAATAACACTTTCATGCTGGAATTTGCAATGAAGTTGTGAATGTGGCTGGAGCCCGGGGCTTCTCCAGGAAAAGGCCCTTTTGGCCAGCTGTATTCAGCTCTAATGAGAAAGCTGAATGCTCCCTCAAAGCTGCGTTTTCCATTTGGCCCCTTTCCCCTCATCAATCGCTGTCAGTTCAGACAGAGGCCCCACATGCAGCTTCCCTTGGGCCTGTGTGCTGCCCGGGGCTGCTCGGGGAGGACAGCCTGCCCTACTAAACTGCATCTCTGAGCCACCAAACAATAGCTCTTTGTGTGAGCACACAGTGCACGCTCAGTTTCCCAGGCTTTTCCTTTTCTCCTCTCCCCTGTCCCGCTGGAAGCCCCCGGCTGCAGGACTGAGCGGGGGCTGCTGCCACTGAACAAAGGCTGTGGGGTGGGCCCCTGGCCCTGGCTCCAGCTGCAGGTACTGGATCATTTTCCTCAAACACAACAGACCCGAGTAACTTGAGCAGAAATGCACAGCAGGATGCCAGGGGGGCTCCAGCCACTGCAGCAGCAGGTCCACGGTCAGGCAGGGCCTGGAGACCTGGTGATGGCACCAGGGGTGGCTTTGGTGGGCACAGGGAGCTGTGGTGCCCATGGTCTGCTTCCCTGAGGGCTCCCTGGCAGCAGGTGATACCCAGACAGATGAGAGAGAGAGAGAGCAACACAGTGAAGCTTTAAAAAAATCGAACTAGGCTGAATCTCTGCAACAGGTTGGTGGTGCCCCTCCACAGGTGCAAGACTGCAGGGCCATCCAGTTTGCACAGAAGGGGATGTTCCTTTCTATCAGTAGCCATGAAAGCACCCCCGAAGGAAGCAGGAATGCTAACTCCACTTACAGATGTGGAAATAGGGATGTGGGCAAGGCCTCGGTGTCCCAGCCCAGCCAGTTTCTGTCCCGCTGGGCCCCACAGCCGCGTGCCCGGCCCTGCTGCCCCTCGCTGCTGCCAAGGGCTCGGGTGCTGCTGGAAACGCTGGCCCCGGCCCCTCGGTTCTGTGTCCCACGGGAAAATCCAGTCAGCACCACATCAGGTGGATGTGCTGTGATGAGCAGGGACCCTGTTTTGGAGCAGGGATGTTCAGGGGCTGTGATGGCCAGGCTTGCTGGTCCTGCTGGGCTGTGAGGGAGCCCTTGCACAGGGCACACAGGGGAAGCTGCTTTCCAGCCTGCTCCTGCATTTAGGAGTTCATTAAGTGCATTCAATGCATCGGAACAAATGCCTGAAATTGCTGTTAGTGGGTCTCACGCTGCAGATGGAGAACTGGAGATTGTGTTTGACTAAATTAATTGGGAACAACAAACAGCAGGGACCCAACTGCTGGAAAAAACTGACAGCCCAGCCACTACTGACCTGGAGCTTCCTTTGCTTCAGCATGACCAACTGCACACAGCTCTGGAGGCTCCGCTCTGCCTGAGGCTGCTGGCATCATTACCCTGCAGCTGCTGCCTTCTGCTGCCCCACAGCCTGTCCCTCCTGAGCTACTGTGCTGTCAGCATCGTCCAGAAAGGCAGTGGTAGGGAAAGCTGTCTCTTATTTATAGCTGCACAGTCCCACGCAGTGCTGATCCACAGGGTGCAGAGCTCCCAGTGATGGAAATGGATCAAGGAATAAATGTATCTTGCAAGTGATAAGAATGGGCTCAGTTCTACAGAAAAGAGTTGCCACCATGTGACCTGCAGAGAGGAGCTGAGAACACCACTGTGTGTGTGACAGGTGTAATACCTGCAGGCTCTGCCTTGTGTCCACAGTCATTGATACCTCAGGAAGCAATTGATTGCCACAAACAGAAATTCAGGGAGGGTAAAGAGATGTTGTTAAAAGAGCAGCAAGCTCCTCCTCTTGTGCAAGTTCTTTTTTTGGTCTGTTGCTACAGCAACTCTCTACCAAGAACAAAGATGACAGCAAGATATTAAATTTTGCAGCAACTCAATTGACTCCTGATTTCCCTTCTTTTTTTGCCTTTGGTAACTGAATCCTGCTGCACTAATTGTGTTAGATTTCAGATGGAAATCATGTGACAAGAATTCCTATGTTGCTCTTTCCTCCTTCCCCTCAGAAACTAATTAAATCAATTTATTTAAATCCAGTGGGTGATTACAAACACTGGATTTCTTGGATTTATTTCTTTTGCATGTGAACATCATGTTTTTCACCCACAAATCATATTCTGTACCAAGATCCCCAAAGCCTTGATATTCTTTAAAAAGAAACAAACGCTTCTTGGCAAGTACTGTTTCGGCAAAGTTCAACGTATGCCGGCAGCACAGACCAGAAATTTAAAACCTGAGTAACTACAACAGGGGTCGTCTGGATTTGGGAATGTTAAAATTGCTTTTAAAGCCCTGCTGCATTTCAGTTTTCCCTCCCCACAGGTTGTGTTTCCTGTGGGGCAGACCCTGAGGACATCTGCAGAGCAGGGTTTGGGGGAGCAGAGCCTGGCAAGGACCTGCCTCATGTCCCCTTCACAGCCTCAGCCCTCGGCTCCAGAGGACCAGAGCTCCTGCATGGGGA